CGCGCACACACACACACACACACACACACACACACACACACACACAGAAACACAAACATACACACACACACACAGCTTCATTACACTGAACTCCACTGCAACGGCACTCATTTCCACGCTTTCCCCAAGCCAGAGGGCGAGAGTTATTAATGATCAAAATTATTGTATTATTAGGATGAATTCAAATCGATCTAATTCTCTTTTACCATTTTTTTTTTTGCACAAGTGTGTACGGGGAGGGGGTGCAGAGAAGAGGTGGGGAGGGGTAAGCACTTATTTAGACATCACTGTTAGTATCTGCGAATGAGTGTGTGAATATCAGTCGAGTGTGCGAGTGCATAAGTGTGTGTGCGCGCGCGTGTGTGTGTGTGTGTGTGTGTGTGTGTGTGTGAGTGTGTGTGAGAGGGAGAGAGATAGAGATAGAGAGAGAGACAGAGAGTGTGTGTGTGAGAGAGAGAGAGAGTGTGTGTGTGTTTGTGTGAGTGTGTATGTGAGTAAGTGTGTGTGAGAGAGAGAGTGTGTGTGTGTGTGTGTCTGTCTGTGTCTGTCTGGGTATGTGTGTGAGTTTGATTGTGCGCGTGTGAGTGTGTATGTGAGTGAGCGTGTGTATATTTGCACGTAAGCCAGCGCAATGACAGGAATACATGACTTGGAATCAAGTAATGGCGTGAAAAAGCTTGGTTTTTAAAAAAAGTAAGGAAAAGCAACTCTAAGGATCAGAGTAATTAGAGTGCAAGTTACGTGAGAAAGGCTACAATCACTAGCATACTACGCAAAGGGGCATATAAAAAGTAGTCAGATGCAGTCAAAACAAAACCACACAAAAGCTTATGACATTAAGATCATGGCAACAATAACTTGCAATTGAATATCAAACGTACGGGAGTACTCACAATTTACACCAACAGTTCATAGTTCCCTTTAATGCCATTGGACTAGATTGCTTCTTAACAATGTTCTGGTTCTGACTGTTTCGGCTTCAGAACCATCAATTTATTCCATTTGATTTCTTATGTAAATCACAACAAAACGATTACACTGATAAATATGAAATGAGTTTTAAGAGAGCACATCCCATAATGTACTAGTAATAAAAACCGTAACATGGATCATGTCGCTAAACTTCAGAAACTGACTTGGAAAAAAAAGAACAACCTAACAACTTAGCCATTACATGTATGACGAGTGACAGTGACCTAAAAATATTTTTTCCTTTAAACATTTACAAGTAATCGACCTGAATACGACGTGTAAAGATTGGATAAAATAAACAAATTCTAATGTAAAGCATTTCTGTCGAACGATAAGTTTCTCTACAAGCAGCTTAATTCAATATATCTAATCACTGTCACAGTGGTGACACATGTGTCATGCTATGTGCAGAAGTGCAAAAAAACTTGCATGGTGCTCAAACTCAAAACGAAACATCAGAAGTGACAGAGAAAAACGTGAGCACGGCAATTTAAACCACGTGACCAACGGGAACAAGTCACTCGCGTGTATTGCCAAACATGCTGTACACAACTCAAAAAGTCCATGCGGTCTCAAGACGTGCAAAAGGGGCACTCTAGTTGCCAGTGCGGCGTACCTCTCAGAAGCTCCTCTCCGGACGACTTTTTCCTCTTAATCCCGGGTGTGGAAGGAGGGGTCAAGAGCTGTTGGCCGGCGATGGCCAAATCCACACTTCCCTTCTTGCTGGGCATATCGCCGCTGATCCTGGCATTCTCCTCAGAAGGCGTGGAGGGCATACGGTAATCCTCCGTGTCTTCCACCATCCTTTCACCATCTTCGTTGCCGTCATCATCGCGGAATACGTCAACGTCATCAACATCTTCATCGTCCCAAGGGTTGTCCACAACCTCCTCGTCCCCTCCACTGGCTGCCTGTCCACCATCGGTGGTCGGTGTCTTCATCTTGGCCTGTGACAGTTTTCCCCCTGTGGTTGCCCGTGAGCCAGCTTTAGACTCGCTTCCTGTAGGCTTATTTTTCATGCTGCTCCTGCCGCTGACAGTTTTCCGACCTAAAGACTTATCGCCCTTGCTCGGCGACTTAGATTCGGTGCTGTCCCTTCCTCCTGGGGTGGCAGAGGGCGCAAGGGATTTGTCGCCGCTCACAGCTCGGGATTTCGTCTTGCTCTTATCTGATACAGATTTGGCAGCTTTCTCGCGGTCCGACATACCTGATTTAACACCTTTGGAAGTGGGAGTCGATTTACGACCATCTGAGACAGAAATGTTCTCACCAGCAGCCGACTTGACAGCTTGCTCGGCATGACTGTCTCCTGCAGATGCCGCAGTCACTTCAGCAGGCTGGTCCTCCTTGGCTTTTGAAGACTTCCCATCTGTCGCCACAGACGGTGCTCCCGACTTCAGGCCTGGGCTCTTGCTGCTCGACCCAGCTCTGGTCCCCGATTTCGACTCGTCTTTCTGTGCAGAACCGGGTTTAGAAACTGACCGTGATTTTGATTCGTCTGGCAGAATGCTTGGTTTTCGGGACGACAACTGACCCATAGACTCCTCTTTCACTGCCTCCAAGTTGGCAGCGGCAGACGCACTCTGTATCCATCCCTCCTCATTTTCGCCCTCTTCTTCGCCATTGGCTTCGCCTTCATCATCGGTATCATGCTCAGAACTCTTCCGCGGTGTCCTCGACAAGCTATCCTTCCCACGCGTAACAGCTTCGCGGTGGCTACCAACTTCAGAATCAGTCTGAAGACCAATAGACTTAGATCTCGGGGTGCTGGCATCTTTATCCTTCTCAACAGCAAGGTCATCTTCCGTCACACCACCACCCATTTCATCCTCTTCTTCTTCTTCCTCTTTTAATTCATCCTCGAGGTCCTCAACCTTGGTCTCCGCGTGTGTTTCTGAGACTGGGGAAGGTGAGGGAACTTTGGGCATATGGATCTCCTCCTGGGTCACCTCACGCGACTCGATGTTGGCGATCTCCTCCTCCTCCGGCCGCTCCGTGATGCGCGCCCAGTGCTCACCGTCACTGCTTGGGCTGCTCACACCACCCGCCTCAGGCTGACCCCCATCGGTCGTGGAACCAGGGCCCTTAACCCCTGTTGTGTTAGAGGAGACCATTTCAGAACCCAGATATACAGTGCTTCTGACTTTAGGCAATACACAGATGATAACAATTGGCTGAACAGTTTTATCATAATGTACCCAATTCAGAATCAGAATACTATCGATCTAAAACTTTCTGTCTAGGTATACACCCTAAATGGCCTTCAGAAAAAAACAGCTGAATTTCAAATTCATGTTCGATTAAGCAGACTGAATACCCAATGTAATTTAAAAAGAAGTAGGCAAACAGACCCCTAATGTATCATAGCGCAACTATTTCAAAATTCAACCACAATCTGCAGTTTTTGCCTATATCCAGAAAACTAGAGGGGGATTTTAGTCAGCTTGTAACCCC